GCATGTGATTAGATACTTTATGAATGTCAGATGATATCCTGTGCAGAAACCATACTTTTTACACCAGCTATTTAGAATATTTCTTCTTCTCTCAGCTGCTCCCTTTAGGGGTTGCCACAGCAGATCACCTACCTCGATCTCAGTCTCACTCTACCCTTCTCTTCTGACACACCAACCCTCTGCATGCCCTTCTTCACTACATTTGTGAACATCCTCTGAGGTCTTTTTCATTTCCACCTGCCTGGCAGCTCCATATTCAACATCCTTTGTCTTTTTTATCCACTATCCCCCCCCTGCACATGTTCAAGCCTCTCTAAATTTGTTTCCAAACTGGGCAACTCACGATGTTCCTGTATATAAGAGAGAAAATGATTAGTGCTTGCTTTTCAGAGTGCTTTCGGTTACTTTTAGTGATGCATTAGTTGTAAAATTCTGGGCCGATACCAATGACATTTTTCCTGCTCTGTTTATTCCCTCTGTTATATCAAGAAAACAAAGAAATCTTCATTATACATGGATATCTAAAGTGTTTTTTAAAAAGGGGCTTTCAGCTCTGAAATACAAATAATGACATTAAAATCAATACAACTGATAAATCAGTAAATAAGATAACATTTTCTGAGTTCAGTGGTGGATCCGTTGGCTAATATATCAGCCAAATGTCAATCAGTTGGCTGATAACACCTAATAACAGCCGTCCGATAGATTCATTGGCTCCAGCCATGGCGACTTTTTCCTACATAATAGCATCTATGGAAGCAACAGCATTAGCAGCGAATGAGGAAATGGTGCATTCGTAAGGCAGAAAATTGAGAATTTCTAGCATGTTTCTTTGGGTAAATAACAAAGCCCTAAATAATCAGTTGTTTGTACGTAAATGCTTTAGATCTTTATGTAGCAGAAGTGGCAGGTCTATTAAAAGTAAGCTTTTCCTTTTTATAGGAGTGATTTTAAGCTTGCTCTCTGTTCCTCTATGAGAGCAAATAATTTTAACAGTAACGACTCTGGCTAAAAACTCTGAAACTGTCCCTTCTGTCCCCAAGCATTTAAAGCAGTTTGATGGCAGCTATTAGATGAATCCAGACCTTTTACAAGGCTCAGGCCTGCCTGGTGTCCACAGCTGCTGTCGCCGCTTATCTCCCTCTATGTTAATCCACTCGGCCATGACCTCTGATTTGCTGAAGGATGGCAGACAGTAGTGCCGTCATGCTCAAAAAGCTTTTTAAGCTGCAAATCTTCCAGTGAGCAGATGCGAGAATCTGAAACCCTCTGGTACTTGTCATATTACAACAGTATCCTGTGAGGGGAAACACTGGCTTCTTGCTTTGAGTTTAAATGTTTTTAGATGAGCAGAGAAAAGATGACCACTCATCAGCACCAAGAGTGTGAATTAAATGTGACAGACTCAGGAGGACTTGAACAAATAGCTGTTGTGACTATGTCCCAAATCATAAATGTACAGTACTATGTTGAAGTTGAGCTGCAGCAGGGCTGTAATTTCATGTACTACCATTAGGTAACACAAGATGGCACAGTGATTCAATTGAACCTTTTGTTTAAGCAGGCAAGTTATTAAGAGCACATCCATTTTAACAATGGAAGCCTGCAAAAGGCAAAACCTCTTGGAGAAACGGCTAACCCACACACCCACTGGTAAAACGGTGCCACCTGGTAGAGAAAGCTTTAGGTAAATTCTGCAGAGGGTAATTACAAAAAGTACCTTTAACCCTTAAAATAACAGATAATTTTGGCTCTTTGAAGTAAGCCCATGCAGACACAACATTTCCATGTTATCACATTGGACACTTCAGAGTTCCTCTTGCATTGGGAAAACTCAAAATTTCAAGGATTGTAATTGACCAGTTTTCTAAAGTGGGGTTTAAATTACTCAAACGAAAACAACTTGTGTTTTTTACAAGGACAGAAACACGAGGAAAATTCATAGACCTTAACTAAGGTAACAGGGACTCCAGTTGTGTCTGTGTGCGTACTCCCTCCCCAGAGGCCCGTTTTGTGTTGGAGAAAACCTATAACTCCAGCAGACATGTAGCACCACCTGATGAATATATATGGTTTGCTCTCTGCCAGCTCCCGAGGGAAATATGTGGTTCTTAAGCTGCTAAATGCTCCACTGGGTTTGCTGGCTAGTTACTAATTGTGTTTCAGATACAAGGAAATATGAGGGTTCTCCGGCTGGTTAGACAGTGCTAGTGAATGAAGATATTTGGAAATCATAATGACTCGGTGAATAATGATAATAACGAATAACGGACAGATAAAGAATAGTTGCAGTCGTCGTGTTTACAAGCCTGCATTATGAGCCAGTGCCTGCTTTCTGTGACAGTGATCTCTCTGCTTCCCTTCTGTCAGCACAGTTGTCTCAGTTCTAAAGTTATCAGTATTATATTGTCAATGACGACAATAGTGATGATCACATTGAACTGGGAATCGTTGGAAGCAGAGGCCCGGCTGGCTCCGTCTTCTGTTTGTTTCTGCATCAACGCTTCCAGTCTGTGAGTTGTAGTAAGTTATTTGACAAATAGCCGAAGGCCTGTGTGGGTTGGCTCCGGCGAGGGAGAGACTTGGCCGACTCGTAGAAAGACTTCCTCTGATTATTTCTTAAAGGCCTGTTTCTCAGCACAGCGACAAGAGTCCAAGTCGCCTGCAGAAACTCGCCCAGCCATCTACCCTCCTGTTTATCTGGCGTGAACGTTGCTCCAAAGGATCTGAGGGGTTCTTTGTGAATAAGCCTCAGCTGCTTCGAGTCTGTAGAACAAAACTGCGTCTGCTTGTTGATCTCACTGTCATCAGCAACACACTTTTATCGCATCCGTGTTTAATTTTACCTGTCGGCTTACGGGAGCGTGTTACTGTCATCTGAAGAATTACAGCAACAGGATTCAGATTTGACGCAAGGAGGAAGGCATTTTCAAGTTGTTTTGAGGAGGTTGCAGTTTTACTTTTTTATATTTTTGGTTCTGTTTTGTCATCTCAAATGAGATCAGTATAAAATGGAATAAAATTAAACTGAAGGACCACATGAAACTGAAAAAATGGACTGATTTGTACAGCTCACAGCCTCTCAATCTCATTTATTGTCAAGCAAACATGGCGTCACATCTAATTTCACTTATCTCTTCCACGTCAGTTGTGTTATTATAACGGCTGTTGATTTTAAATGGTATTGTTGCAGCTAAGTGACAACGAGTCATCTGCTGCTATAAATGTTCAGCAGGGGACCGGGGAATAAAAAGGCCACATAAATGAAGGCTGTTTTTAACTTCAGCCTCAGTTTGAATCTCATAATCTGTGTTTTTCTTCTTTATTTCTTTAGTTTTATGTATCCTGTTGGAGGAGGCTTGGGACCGCCGCAAGGTGAGTCATCTTGCACTGAATATTACCGCTCTTTCCCTCCAAACTGTTTGTGTAAATATATTCAGCTGAGGAGATGGCACACAAATGTGTTTTGTGTGAATTTGAATGGGATCATAGAATATTGCTTTTTGAAGCAAACTGTCAGGATATTGCACTTTAGAATGTAAACGTTGTTTATTTTGACAAATGTTACTAGAAATCTTCATTTTAAATAAAGTGGATATTGAAATACTGATTTTCTAACAAGTATTAGCACAATAAGTGTCATTCTTCCCTCGATGTAATCAGTCACACAAGATGTGATCAAAAGTTTCTCGGCTCTGTAAATAACTTTAAAAAGTTTGGCTCATCTCCTCTTCAGTGTCACCTTCTTTGGCAGCCTTGTACTCTTCTGAAAAAGGCTAGGAACTGGATTAAACTTAAATTTAAGTTATGATTACAAAATAATTTCATCTACTTTCTCTGTAGAGCTCTTTGTTTTTTTTTTATTGTGCTATAATTCAAACGCACTCTGTTCCTTTACAGTTTGTAGTTTTTGCTTAGTTGACTAAAACAGAGCTTCTCTTTACCAAGATCCATACATGAAAAGAGATGAAGAGAAACCCTGGATTGCTCAGGGTCTGTCACCTGGTCCACTTTCAGCAGCACTATGATGCATTTTAGAACATAAATCCACTCCCAACATGTTTTTAAGTTCAGTAAATTAATGTTTAAACTACAGTATTGACCATAATAGTTGTGATTATGATTGTTGCTTTAATCGAGTGCTTGCTCTGTTGATTGAACTTTGTGCGCTTGATTTGCTCCTCTGTATCAAACATCAAGCCTTCAGCTTTCATTTGGGGAAGAGGGTGAAGCCAAATCTGAGTTGGGAGAGAAAAATAAACCAAAATGAAATAAGAGGAATGATGAGGAACATGCTGCAAGCATGCCCCTGTTTAGAGCTAAAAGGAACATGGGAGGACAGCCTAGTAGGGGAGATAGGTTGGCCTTTGACGTTAACTTTGATTGTTTTCGTCCTTTCCTTTTAGTTATTGGTCCTTGCAGTTCTTGGGCATATGAGGATCAGTGAGGATTCGGCACATTGCAGCTCATATCTTTGTTACAATGCTCAGCACTGAGCAACGCAGGTCTCAGATGTGCCATCATTTAGCTGTGGCTGCTCGTCCTACTCAGACTGTTGGCTTTGCAGTAACGCCTCCAGATAAACCACGCATGCACTGGTGGGACGAGCGTCTCTTAGGGGTCATTATATGCTCCTGTTAGCAATGTCATTTTAGTCCAACAAATTAGAATGTGCACAGTCTCCCAGACAAGCCATTTACACAGCCCAGTTGAGCCCTAACACGGTGAATCATCTGCAGGCTCCAGTCGGAGCTGGTTGCTCAGCTCTGGTTGTCAGCTTACGTGGCGTCTCTGAAAATAAACACACACACTTTTCCAATTTTTCTTCCCCCAATCCTCTTGTTTTGCTCCAAGTTGTCACAGTAGTCACCAGAGAAACAGATTTGGCTGTTGCAAAGCCTGTGTCTTTTTCCAGCTGTCGGAAGAAATGGTAATGGATTTGCAATACTGAATTATGACCAGCCTCTGGAGGCTTTTGTTTTCTCTTTTTCTTGATAACTTAAACTAAGATAAGTAAGTAAATACATTTTATTTCTCCCAATAGTTTGTAAATTCTTCATTATAGCTGTAGAAACTTTAAACGCAGCCTATAACAGTGTAGCTTAATAAAATAAAACATGACCAAAATGAGCTCAATAAGGAAAAATTTACACAAAAAAAAAGGTGCTCAGTTAAATGGAAGAAAAATGAATGAGCTCAAAAAGTACATTTTTAAAAACACAGAAGAATCCCCTGTAAAAACCTGAATGTAAAACGGGAAGAAAAAATTAATAGGAAAAAACTGATTAACTTATTAAACTTGTAATAAATTATTATAAAGAAACAAAGAACTTCATTTATACCAAGAGTTGGGAAGTTACCGTGTTTCAGCAGCCAATAAATCCAAGCACTCATTTGTATTATTAAAAAAATTACACTAAATAAGGAGCTCAGATAAAAAAAAAAAAAAAAATTTAAAAAAATGAAGAGCTCGATAAATCAGACTCCATATTATTTTGCGGACGCCTCACATTCCCCATGATGATTGCGGGAAGACCTCCAAATCTACTGTTTTCTATGTAGCTTCTCCGGTCTTACAGGCCTTGCTCCAGGCAGTAAAACTGTCAGTGCAATCAGCTGGTGAAGATTCTCTGTTGGCAAGAGAGTAATATGAAGAAAAACTACTAGAAGGCTTGTAAAAATTGATTTTACAAGACCCGTGAATCAAAAAAAAGTAGCCAAATCAACTTCACATGAATCGCACTGAGTAAGAATCAAGGCTATCAGTTAATAAAACCATTAAAATAAATACAAAACAGTAACAATGGAAACTGCATCTCAGTATGGTACCAGGAAAAAATGCAATGTAAAAATTTGAATGTAATACAATAAAAGAGAGTAAAAGAAACTCAATAAATTCAGTAAAGCATGATAAACATGTTACATATAGAATATTTTAACCATGTCTACAGTATGTGATAACAGAGTTTGTGTGTTTCTGCAGGCATGGTACCCATGCAGCAACAGCAGCAGCAGCAGCAGCAACAGCAGGGCTTCCCCATGGTTCCTGTCATGCAGCCTAACATGCAGGGCATGATGGGAATGAACTTTGGAGGCCAGATGCCCCCAGGTGCCATCCCTATGCAGGTCAGCGCTATTTCTTATATGTTGTGCTTGGTTCTGTGTTTGCATGTGTTTTTTGGGAGGCGGGGGTCAAATTAATATTTCCCTGAGGATTTATTTATGTATTTATTTATTCTCTTGTAGTATTTTGAGTGAACTTGCTAATTTGGCTGCATTTGGTGCATACATAGTAGTGAAACACTGCTGTATTGATTTAACTGATTTCACTCATGTGGAAGGCTGGCTTTACAGCTCCTCTTGAACTCATTTGCTTCCATGTTAATCTCTCCACAAACAGTTTTAAACACCAGCACATTAACAGGAATTTATTGTTGCCTGGTGATGTTTAACAAGACTTTAATCCATTAACATTTTGCTTTCCCTTGGTTAAAGCATTTGATAATCACACGAGCGGAGCAGGAATGCTAAATAGTTTGTTGCATGTTTTTTTTTGGGGGGGTGGGGGTCTAACAGGGTGGAATGGCGATTGGGATGCAGACCCCTGGGATGCAGTTCTTGGGTCAGCCACAGTTTATGGGTATGAGACCAGCAGGACCCCAGTACACGGCTGACATGCAGAAACAGATGGCTGAAGAGCACCAGTAAGTCATCTTTACACCTCCATTATAATTCCTCTTTGTGTAGATCAAGTTTAAGTAAGCAGCTAGCTTAAAAAACAGTGCAGTGGAAAATAAACTTCCCTTTAACACATTCAAATTTTCTGTCAACTTCAGTTTCTGGTTACTTCTCATACTTTTTAATAGAGCCTTAGTGTCCAAATTAGGTAATTTTTCCCCCAAATACACTGAAAGATCTGAGTTTACCATCTGAGAGCATTCTGCTACTTTTTAGGACGTATAATCCCCCAAACCCTAACCCACTAACCCTGTTATGCCTCTTGGATTAGCTGGAAAAT